TACACAGATCCAGCCCCAAATGCTCCAGAAGTACCCCAGGACTTGGGGGTCTGGCCAGGAGCAATGCACCTAGGGACCCTGTGGCTCCCGGCTTGTCAGGGACCCCAGAAGTCCAGGCTGGGGCCCTCTGGAGAGTGGAAGATGCTACCCTAGCCCGGCAGAGGATGCCCCAGCAGCAGGAGGATGCGTGTTCTTGGGGTGCAGAGCAAGGACAGTCAATCTGCCAGACTCAGCTCTGCACCACTGACTATGGCCCCCAGCCCTGCTTCTCCCCAACACAGCCCACCCAGAGCTGCACTCTGACCTCCAGCCCATCAGCTGCGCTCAGCTTCCATGGCCTTGGGTCCAGCAGAAGGAGCCAGAAACAATCTGCATGCTGACCCGGAGACACCATCCCCCCTCCTCTGCCCCCTTGATGCCCCCGTTCCCCGCACCCATTCTCTGCCCAGCACCCCTGCCATCCATCCGCCACTACCTGGCTCTGCACTGCTGTGGTCTGTCCTGGCAGGCAGCCCGGAGGCCGGCAGCAACTCACACGGCAAGGCAGTGCCCCGCCCTCCTGCCGGCAGCGCAGAGCCAGTGAGCCTGCAGCCCTGCGTCACTGGGGCGGCACAGAGGCGCTCAGAGCCCCCACCCCCAGGCCCTCACTGCAGGGGGCCACTTCCCCTCCCAGGGCCTGGCCTCTCTACTCAGAGCCAGGGGCACCAGACCACTCCCCTGTCGCGGGGGGGGGGGGGGGGGGGGGGGGGGCGGGGGGGGAAGGGGGGGCACGGGGGGGGTCTTAAGGGGCCTGGGGGGTGGGGAAACCACTCCCCATGCAGCTCAGACCAGCTTCCCAAACTGCCCAGTGAGGTGTTTGGGGGGCCAGGGCAAAGAAGAACTAAGTACACAGCACCCACAGAGCAGTATGGGAAGGACTAAGCACACAGCACCACAGGGCAGGTGGGCCTCATAGACATACTCAGAACTGGACTCTGCCCCCTGCCTGGCCTTCAGGGCCAGGGCCCTCACTCCACAGAGGCCCTGCTGGCTTCTCACCAGCAACGGGCAGTGACCCTGAGCCCCTCAGCTGGAAGGGTGGGGTAGGGAGAGCACTGTGGAGTCTCCAGCTGGCTCTAGGCCTGGCTGACTAATTCCTGCCTGAGCCCCCCACACCTCCTACCCCACCTCTGTCCCCCCAAAGGAAGCAACAATGCCTGGAGATCCGTGAGAGCAGACGGGGGCACATACTGCAGCACTCCAGAGCTCGGTCCTTCAGGACCACCCCCACGGACCCCCACTGCCACTGAGCAGGGCTGAAGACTAGCAGGTGCCCAAGCACTGCCACAAGCCCCAGGGGTAACGACACTTCAGGAACAGCAAAAGAAGCAGATGTGCACACACTTTCAAAGACACACTCTCACATGCACTCCCAGACACACTCCCACAGACACATTCCCAGACACACACCCACAGATACACACTCCCATAGATACACTCCCAGACACACTCCCATAGATATATACTCCCAGACACACTCCCGCAGAGCACTCTCCCACAGATACACACTCCCACGGACACACATGCTCACAGATACATACTCCCAGACACACTCCCACAGACACACACTTTCAGACACACTCCCACAGATATATACTCCCAGACACATTCCCAAATACACACTCCCACAGATACACACTCCCATACTCCCATAGACACACTCCCACAGACACACACTCCCAGACATACTTCCACAGACACACACTCCCACAGACATACACACTCCCAGACACACTCCCACAGAACACCCTTAGATAGACACACACTCCCACAGATACACACTCCCAGACACACTCCCACAGAACATACTCCCACAGAACACATTCCTATAGACACACACTCCCAGACACACACTCCCACACACTTCTACAGACACTCCAGAGGTTCACATTCCAGTTACATTCCCAGACCCACGTGCCCAGACAAACTCCAACACTCCTACAGACTCAGTTCACAGACTCACATTCTAGACACACACCAACAGATCCACACTCCCAGAGACACACTCCCACACACTCCTACACTTACTCCACACATTCCACATTGCCATAAATGCACACGCCCAGACACATTCCCACATGCACTCACAGACACAGCAATAGATTCCCCCCAGACACACTCCCTCACATGCCTACAACTCACTCCACAGACCCACAGACCCAAACACACTCCCACATGCACCCACAGATACACACACCCACAGACACCCCCCCACACACATTCCTACAGACAGTTCTCAGGCACAAACTCTAGACACATTTCCACATACACTCCCCAGACACATTCCCACACACACCTCAGACTCACTTCACAGACCCACACACTCACACTCCCACACACTACCAGACACACTTCCACAGGCACACTCCCACATGTATTGACACACACGCCAATAGATACATACCCCTACATACCTTCTGATACACTTCTACACATTCCAGACACACACACCTCACAGACATACTCTACATGTCCCACAGATACACTCCACGTATTCCCACACGTACTCCCACACACTCCTGCACATTCCAGACATTCCCACAGACACACTCCACATACACTCCCAGACATATACTCCCAACATACTCGTCACACTCCCACAGATACACTCCACAGACACACACTCCCAGAAATCCCCAGATAAACTCCCACACACATACTCCTACACACTCTCACAGACACACTCCCAGATACATACTCCCATACACTCCCACATACCTACACATACACTCCTCCCCATATATGCACATAGACACACATGCACAGACTCACACATACACATATTCACATACACTCACATACACTCATGCCCTGTGGTAGCAGCTCAGCTGAAAGGGTCAGAGGTGGGGGGACTCTAGCAAGAAGCCCGTGGAGAGTGGGGGGGGGGGCAGGGCCAGTGCTGGGTGGGATCTGGCAGGCGCTTGGAGACCAGTTGAGAAAACTGGTATATCTGGCCAGCTCCTTCCTTCTAGGAGAGAGAACAGCACGTCCATCTCATGTACGAAGCTGTTCTGCCCCACTCCCAACCCCCTCTGCCTTCTGGGGACAATAATCGGCCTCTGCCCGGAACACAGCCCTCAGACTGGGCACGAACCTGACCACAACACTTTTCTAGACGGGGCTGTGGGCACAAAACCACGAGGCAGGGAGGGCATGGCCAGGGCCACCATGAATAATGCAGAGATTGAGCAGGAGGGCTGGGGCCCCAGGTAGGTGTGGGGGAGAGAGTAGCTCCAGCTCCCTGCCACAGGCCAGCAGCACATCGTGCCCAGACCACAGACAGACACACACACACAGAGGCACAGATACACACGGACACAGATATACTGACACACTGACACTGACACAGATAGACACCAACACGCACATACTCAGATATGGCAATGTACACACACACAGATACAGCAACAGACACACGAGTCCACAGACACAGATATACACAGACACGACAAATACACACACAGACATGCAGTGTAGGTGCTCGTGCCTACAAATACACAGAGTCTGCGCAGAAATTGGGGCAGTACTCAGCAGGGGGGTCCTGACACAGTCCTGGGGTCCCCCAGAAAGAAGAGTATGTGGGAAGAGGAGTGGGGTACAAGGTCAGGTGTGTGGGTCACAGGGTGCCTCTCAGTGGTGTGTACAGAGCCCGGTGTCTGAGGAAGGCCACACCCGGCTTCTGCCACCACCGGGGAATTGGGAAACAGGCCCCGGGGCTCATTGGGAAAGCAAAAGCCCCAAACGTGCCTCAACCAAACAGCCCCCAGGAAACGGGTTTTCCACAACCGCAGGGGTACGGAAAGGGAGGTGGGCTCGCCACGGCCCCGCAAGCGCCAGAGGCCGGGCGGCACCGACCCGCCGGCCACTCTCTGACCACACACGCCGCTCTGTCGTGTCCAGGGCTCACTCCGTGTCCCAAGCCGCCAAGGAGACATTCCCGCCCCCGCACTCACCCCGCACGCACTCGGGGCCCCAGCGACCCCGAGGAGCAGAGCTGGGCACAGGGTCCCGGGAATAGCCTCGCTGTGGAGTTCCCCGCAGACCCCGGGACTGGGCGCAAGACTGCCCACCCATCAGGCCTGCACACTCCCCGCATTCCCCCTGCCCACCGCCTAGGGTCCAGGGGAAGTGGAGGGGGCGGGGGCCGGGCAGGCGCGTGGGCAGGGTCGGACCCAGAGTCCCCTTCCCACCGGCCTCCCCTGTCCCCAACAGCCGCAAGCCGCACTCCTGCGGCCTCCGCGCCTCCAAAGGCCCAGGGACGCAGGACCCGAGACCCCAAAGCTGGTCCTTCGGGCGTCCCCCGAGTCGGGGCTGAGCCTGCGCTCGGGAGCCCTTGGGGGGACCCTGAGTTCCGAGGTATCCCCACGGCCGGACTGACGGCCCCGCCCCCGGGCGCTCGGGCCTCTCTGCTCGCCCTCCCCTCGGGCTGAAGCCGGGCCGGCGTTCGGAACTCCGGCCGAACAGGACTGGGGTTCGGGGTGCAAGGACAAGGCGTGACACCCAAGGAATCCCGGCGGTGCGGGTAGCGGCAGAAGCGAAGGAAGCAACTCAGCGCGCGGCTTGCAAGCTGCGCAGGCGCAGGACGCGCGCAGCCCGGGGCCGGGCGGAGCCAAGGCGCGGACCGGAAGTCGGAGTGTGACACGGAGGAGCCAATGCGCGGACCGGAGTCCCGGGGGCGTGGCACGGCAGAACCAATGCGCGGACAGGAAACCCGGGGGTGTGACGCGGCGGGCGGAGCCAATGCGCGGACCGGAACTCCGGGGGGCGCGGCATCGTGGGCGGAGCCGATGCGCGGACCGGAAGCCCGGGGGCGTGGCACGACGGAGCCAATGCGCGCGCGGACCGGAGGCCCAGGCGGCGCCACTGCGCCCGCGTGGCACCGCCCATCCCAGGCGGCCTATTGGCTGCGGGCCCCGCCCCTGACGACGCAGGCCCCGCCCCTGGAGACGCGGCGCGGAGGATCGGAGATCTTCCGGGCTCGCGGCCCGGCCCGGCCCGGCCCGGCTGAGGCTCGGCGCGGCCCGGCGCCATGAAGCTGACTCGGAAGATGGTCCTGACCCGGGCCAAGGCGTCGGAGCTGCACAGCGTGCGCAAGCTCAACTGCTGGTGAGCCGGCGGCCCGCGGGGGTCGGGTGGGCGCCTTCCCGCGCCCGCGCTCATCGACTGCCCTCTCCCCCCAGGGGCAGCCGCCTGACCGACGTGAGTGTCCGCGGAGCGCCTCCCGGGACCCAGGAGCAGCGGCCGCTTCCCGAGGGCCCCTGCGCTGGCCCCTCCCCGCTGCTGTCGGAGTGGGCAGGGGGCAGACCCCGAGTGTCCCGGCACAGCGCGGGCCCCGGGCCCGCGAGGCTGTTCTCTGGCCAGGCAGGGTGGGAGGCGCCTCCGGGCGGCCCAGGGGAGGCAGGCCGCGGGCCCCCGGGCCCCCGGCACGGGCTGTTTGCGAGTGGAGGGCAGCACTGCCTTCCTCCGGGCCCCTAGCGCCCCCCCCCCCGCAGCAGGGAGCCCCCCACCCCCATTCCAGGCGATGGAAGCGGGGAGGCCCCCTGCACCCTTCACACTTGCATCTCTACCCCCTAGATCTCCATCTGCCGGGAGATGCCCAGTCTAGAAGTGATCACACTCAGGTACTGGGCCCCAGAGAAGGGGGTCAGGGACCCCTCTGAGACCACCCACCCTGTCCCCCGGCTCTGCCACCCTCCAGGCACACCCTCGTGGCAGTGGGGAGCCTGGGACTTGCCCCCCTCTCTCACCAAGTGCGGGACTGCCTGGGGTTGTGCTTGACCCTCAAGGGCTATTTGGAGGATGGGGAGGCCACGGCAGCTGGCCGAGTGGGTCCCGCCTGACAGACCGCCCAAGGGCCTTGGGGCCACCGTGCAGGGGGAGTCACGGAGCGCAGGCATCCCGTCTGCGGCTCCCTGGCTGGCTCGCTCCTCCCACGGCCCTCTCCCCTGCTGACACCATGAACCCAAGCTGGGGAGTTCCAGGCTGCTGCCGGTTCTGGCCTCTGCTTTACAGACGCCCCAGTTCTGGGGAAAACCTCTTCCTTGGGATCTGGCGCTTGGGCCCTTGGTCCCGTGGAGGCACATGTGGTGCCCCTGACCCACACAGGCAGCCCCCTCTCCACCCGAGAAGGATGTTCTGGATGGGTGGGGGTTGCGGGCAGCCTGCAGGGCCCCTGGTGTGGGGAGCGAGAGGCCGTTAGCGCTGCTGACAGGTTCCCCCACCCCAGTCCCTTGCCCGGTGGGGCGCTGGGGCTCAGCTCAGCTCATTCTGTCCCCTGATGTCGGGGAGAGGATGCCTGCACTCACCCCGGGCCTATCCCCACAGCGTCAACAATGTGTCCACACTGGAGCCCGTGAGCAGCTGCCGGCAGCTGAGCGAGCTGTACGTGCGCCGGAACTGCATCAGCAGCCTGGCGGAGCTGGCCCACCTGCAGGGCCTGCCGCGCCTGCGCGTGCTCTGGCTGGCCGAGAACCCATGCTGCGGCCCGGACCCCCGCCGCTACCGCCTGACCGTGCTGCGCGCGCTGCCCCGCCTCCAGCGCCTGGACAACCAGGGTGGGTGTGGCACCAGCCCCTGCTAGGGCCCCTCTGGCAGGTGGCGGTTCTGCCCTGTACCCACTGGGCCCAACTCACACTCATGCATTCCTGTTTCCCACCTGTGCCCTCATGCATCCCACCTGCGCCCTCATGTGTGCCCTCTCTCCCCACAGCTGTGACAGAGGAGGAGCTGTCCCAAGCACTGATAGAGGGAGAGGAACTTACAGCTCTGAGTGTGAGGGACCCTGCACCTGAGACCCAGGGGCACTCCCTGAGCTACAGCGAAGAGGAAGCGGGGTGCGTGAGGGTCACAGGAGGGAGCTACCTACCTGCCCTTCTCTGCAGCGGCCCCTGGCGGGGTGGAGGGAGGACAGCGAGGCCTGCTACAGGGACCCTTGTTACTGAGGGCAGAATCCTGCCTAGAGTGTGGGGGGAGGGGCGGCAGAGCCCTGCATTGGTGCAGAGTGCTGGGGTCCCACCCTTACACCCGACTCCCTGCAGCACCGAGGTCCAGCTGGGTCAGAAGCCTCCCACCCGGAGTTGCTTCCCCTCCTCGCACACAGAAGCCATGAACGGCTGCAAGACCAAGGTGAACGCATGTGCCCGCTGGGCCAGCCTGGGGCAGGGGCACCAGGAAGGGTGGGAACCAATCCTGTTCTCACAGAGGTACTGCCTCTCACCCTGGCTTCTGAGCCGCCCCAGCTGTGGGCGACAGGCTGGGGCTCTGGACGTGGGAGTAGGGGCTGCCCAGGCAGCCGGGGCCAGGCACCCACAGGTAGCCTGGCTGATCTCGTCTTCAGGGCCATGTCCTGAGCGCGGTGCTGCTGCTGCTGCATGAGCTGGATGCCGAGGCGCTGGAGACCGTGCACCAGGGTGTGGTCAGCCGGCTGCAGGCCCTGCACACACCCGAAGTGCAGGAGGACATGGAGTGACCCAGGAAGTGGACTACCTGTAGGGGACCACCACAGGATGGCCCCCACCCTGCCGTGCATCCTGATGCTGGCTCTTGGGGAGCCGGACAGCCTGAACACTGTGTTCCCATCCCAGCCTCCTGTGCCGTGAACAGCACCTAAGGTGAGTCCCCGCTCGGGCCGGCCACCCAGTGGTCACACACAGGGACCGAGCAGGGGACAAGAGGGGCCCTTTGCTGTGAGCAAGCCCTGCTGGGGGCTGTCTGGAAGCTGACGTGGGCCCGGAATTCCAGGAGGAGCCACTTGGGCGGCCTGTGGCGGGAAAGATGCCCCATTGCCCCCACAGCCCGCAGTGACCATACTGGGCTCTCAATAAAGGCTGTTTGCAAAGCCAAGCCCCAAGCGCACTGACCATGCCGCCTCTCCAACACGGCCCCCGTCTCTGTGCGCTGGACACAAGCCTGTGCCGACCCCCACCCCTCCCAGCTCCTGCTCCCACAGGGCCCCCACATCAACACACAGGCCAAGGCTGAGAGTTTCATTCTAGAAAAGACGACAAGGTCTATCCAGTCACAGAAGCAGGACCACAGGGAGACCGGGGCCGCACCCACCCGCCCCAGGCGCTGAGGGACAGGCCGCCTGGAGAGGCGCCCAGGGAGGCCGGTCTAGTTCAGATGCGCCCCACCGCAGCTCAGAAGCCTGTGTCCACGCTGAGGCTGCGGCGCGTGACGTGCTCCAGCTCGCCGGACACGTAGTCGGCCATGCTCACGCGGTAGTGGGCCAACATTTTGAGTAGCAGCCGCAGGTTCAGCCACCACTGCTGCCGGGGCATGCGGTGCCTGCGGGCACGGTCAGTGGTCAGCAGCGGGCAGTGTCCCTGCACTCCTGCAACCCCCCTCCCCCTCCTGGCACTCACTCGAAGTCCGTGTCCTTCCTGAGCTCTGTCACGGGACTGAAGGCCACGACCTTCTTCCGCAGGCCGATCACCACGGCCGAGTCCGGGGAGTTGGCGAACACACGCCCTGGGCATGCAGGAAGGGGGGACGGGCACCCCCGGCCCAGGTTCTGACCACGCCCCCGCCCTCCCTCCCCTGGGTGGCCCCACTCACCATACACCAACCACCACCTCGACCCAACGGAACCAGCACCTCCCACCGGCCCGGCCCCGCCCAAACCTCCATCTCATTAGCCCGGCCCTCAGCACGCACCATTGCGGTAGAAGGCCTGCAGCTTCTCGGATATCCAGAGCACAGCCTTCACTCCCAGCTTGGTGCCGTAGTTGCGATCAAAGGGGGTGGGAGCCCCGCCCTGGAATTGGATGAAAGCAGCAGGTCCACATCCACATCGCGCAGGAGCCCGAGACAGCCCCGGGGGTGTCCCGGGCCACCGACACGCCATTCCCCAGACCCAGCCCGGCAGTGGGCAACTCCTCTCTGGTGGGGGTTCCTGTGCCCACTTCTGTGGGGTGCTGCACAGAACCCGCCTCACCTGCTATGGGACCCAGGACACGGGCTGCCCACCACACCTGCTGCGGGGACCCAGGCCGCCCACCACACCTGCTGCAGGTGGCCCAGCACGTTGGTCCTGCAGTCGAACACGCCCTTTCCCTCGGAGGAGTAGAGGCTGTACAGGAAATCCGTGGTGTAGTGATCGTGGCACTTCTCATTCCTGCAAGGTCACAGGCCTGGATGCAGTGGCCGCTCGGGAGTGGCTGGCCGGCCTGCCCGCCTGCCCGCAGCCTCACCTCAGCACCAGGCCCCTCTGGATCTCCGTCTTCATCTTTTCTGTCATGTGCTCCACGTTGGCCTGTGGGGGGGGAGGGCGCAGCTGAGGGGGCGCAGCTGACCCAGGAGGCCCGGGAGGGGCAGGGATCTGGCAGGGAGGGGGCCTCACCTTCAGGTCGTGGATGCTGAAGGGGTCCTCAAAGACATAGGCCGCATCGGCGCCCACGGCGATGCCGGTCACGGTGGCCAGGTAGCCGCAGTAGCCGCCCATGGTCTCCACCACGAACACGCGGCGCTTGGTGCCCGAGGCAGACTGCTTGATGCGGTCACAACTCTGGGGACAGGGCACAATGAAGACCCACCCCAGGAGCACTGGTTGGCCCCAGCACAGGCGCCGGCTTCTCTCAGTGTCACCTGGCCCAGAAACCATTCCTGCCTCCCAGGCGCCAGAAACATCTGAGCCCAAAAGCACCACAGGGAGCTGCAGACGGCGGCAGGGAGCTGTGTTCCGAGGGGAGCCCCAGACAGAGGTTCACACGTACCCCGGGGTTCACGTCTTGCTACAAGCAGTGAAAACAGAGAAGGCCCTGGCGAGGGGCTGCAGAGCTGTCCCGACCCCTGGCCCTCCGGCTCAGACCCTCAGGGGTGTAAGACCTGGTGTGGCCACTGCTGGATGCCTGCGTGCAGGTCCCTTCTTCCCCCGCACCCCCCCCCCGGCCCTGGCCACCCGCGACACCCACCTCCATGGCAGCATTGACGGCCGTGTCAGAGCCCAGGCTGAAGTCAGTGCCCGGCACGTTGTTGCTGATGGTGGCGGGGATGACGCACATGACGATGCAGAGCTCCTCGTAGCGGCCACGCGCCTCCATCAGCTGCAGCACCCCCTCGTAGGCCTGTGGGGACAGCAGGGCGGTGGGCACCAGCAGGGGCAGCAGGAGCTGCGGGAACGGGGGCGTCCCTGCCCGGGCCAAGCCTCACCTCGAAGCCCCCAATGACCAGCAGAGCGTGGATGCCGTGGGTGCGGATGTTGGCCACGATCTTCTCCAGGAAGGCCTTGGGCAGTGTCCTGCAGCAGACCAGACATGTCCCCGGGGCTCCCTGGCACGGTCCAGACCCCCCAGCACATGGGACCCGGCCAGCCCCGACAGTGGACACAAGCTGGGCACTGTGGAGTGTCTGGGGCCCGGGGTGGAGCCCCTGGCTGAGCCTGCGCTGGGCAGCCACCACAGGGGGACCCGCCACTCACCTCTTGGTTCCCAGGACAGAGCCGCCACGTCCCAGCCAGCCAGCCACATCGTGCCAGCCCACTTCCTGAAGCTGTGGGGAGAGGGGTGCAGGGACACCGGGCAGGTGTCTGCAGGGCCGTGAGAGGGCACCAGGGGCCCGCACTTCCCGCCCCAGCCCCCAAACCCCCGCCCCTGCCCGTGCCTACCTGCCCCGCCGCGAGGCCCTCAAAGCCGTCATGCACCACGTACACGGTGTGGCCCTGGGAGATGGCAGTGCGCACAGCTGAGCGCACAGCCGCGTTCATGCCGGCCGCCGGGGCGCCCACATTCAGGATGGCCAGAGCGAAGCTGGACTGCGGAGAGGACAGGGCATGGCTGGAGAGACTGTGGCCACCGCCGGAGGCACAGAGCCCAGGAACCAGCTCACTGGGGGACAAGGTACCCCCAAAGGCCCCAGGGCAGTGATTCGAGGTAGGGAAGTCCCACCGGTGACATCAGCGTCCCCCGCCCACCCCCGGCCACCCTCAGAGGACCCTCCCCTGCCCCCAGGCCCGTCCTGCCCCACCCCGGTGACCCAGGGCCATTCCCAGGCTCCTCAGGCGTCCACTGGGCCGTCCTGCCTGGCGTGGAGCCCCGGCCTGCGGGTCACGGTGCCGCGGACAGGGCACAGCCCTCACCTTCTCCTTGGCCGGCTTCTGGTGCGCCAGCATCTTGTACATGTTCCAATTGTTCTCGAAGCTCCTGCAGGGAGGCAGGTGGGGGACCCAGTGCTGACTGGCCAGAGACCCCAGCACAAGGGTGTCCCAACTCTCCAGGCCCCCGCCAGGCTGCTCCGAGACGGGGCTCCCAGGGTGCCCACGCCTGTGCCCCCGGCCAGCCCCTCACCTGCCCCGAAGCTGAATGGCCTCCTCAAACCGCAGCTCATCCATGGCCTTCTGCACTTCCTTGGTCTGGGGACAAAGGCTTGGACTGGGGGGACCTCAAGCACCTCACACAGGGCCCAGCCGCTGCCTCCCAGGGAGGCCCCCTCAGCCCCTGGGCCCCGGGGAGGGAAGAGCCCTGGCCCAGAAGCCCAGCAGCGCCTCGTGCTGAGAGGGCCCAGGGCACAGATGTACGGGCCCTGGGGAGCCCCGGTCCACCGCCCAGCTGGAGCCAGGACCAGCACCCAGGTGCAGCTGCTCTGCGCACACTGCCCCCTCCCCCTCCTCCAGACCCGGGCATCACCCCCTGCCCCCAACCCCTCCCCTAGACCCAGGCACTCACCACCTGCACACACTCCATGAGCGGCAGCCGCACTGGCAGGTTCCCCGACAGACTCACGACACAGGCCGGGGTGTCAGGAGTGGCCTCGAGCAGCGCCATCACTGCCTCCACCCCCATCTTGCTGCTCTGGGGTGGGAGACACGCACCTCAGTCACGTGCACATGCAAACACACACCCAGAGCAGACACTCCCACACCCCACGCACACAGCAGACGTTACCACACACACACACTGCCCACATACAACCCCCCTCACACCTCACACACCACGGCCCTCACAGCCCATGCACACTTCACACCACACACAGAGCAGATTATTACTAACCCACAGTCCTCACTCACCTCGCACTACACACACAGCAAACATTACCACAGCCCACACCCCCACACACACACTCATACCTCACACCACACACACACAAGCAGACATTACCACACACACACACAGCACTCACAGCCCCACTCACACTTCATACCACACACAGAGCAGATATTACTAACCCACACTCCCCACTCACCACACCACACACACAGCAAACATTACCACAGCCCACCCCCCCCACACACACTCATACCTCACACCACACACACAGCAGACATACCACAGCTCACACCCCCCTCACACATACACATACCTCACACCACATAAAATATAAGACATTACTATACACGGACCACAGCCCCACACACACCCCCATTCACATCTCACACACAACACACATTACCACACAGCACCACAGCCCACACTCACACCCACTCACACTTCATACCACACACACAACAGAAAGTACTAACCCACACTCCACTCACCTCACACCTCATACAGCAGATATTACCACACACACACCACAGCCCCCACACAACTCCCACTCACACCTCGTACCACATACACGAAAGACATCACTATACATGGACTACATGGACCACAGCTCCACACACACACTCACACCTCATACCACACACATGGAAGACATTACCACACACCCACAACAGTCCACACAAGTACTCACACCTCACACATACACAGCAGACACTGCCACACACATGAACCACAGCTCACCCACCCCCGACTCACATGTCACACCTCAGAGCAGACATTACCACACACACACACAATCCACCCCCCTCAC